CCCCACCCACTTCGACGCACACCATTTCAAGAGCATTCTCCACTTCCTCTCCATCCAACCTAAACCACTATTTGTGTCACTTACTCTAGGAATTGAGCTATGATCTTTCGTAGCGAATTCCGCCCTCTTCTAGGCACGCCCTACCCACCGATAGCGCTTGGCCTCTCCACCTTTGCTAGACTAGATCACTTTTTTGTGCAGTCTCTGATAGACAGAACAATTATGAGATTGAAACCCGTTACACTTATGGCTAAGTCCCGTTGTTATGGGCAGCTCGTCGCTTGCTCAAGTGTGCTTGCGCCCACATAAGATATCAGTCCCCACCATATTTTTTCAGCCTCGTAAAAAACTTTCCTCTATTCTACTAAGCACTGCCCATTCAAAAGAAATCCCCACCACAGGTAGGTCCCTACAAAGCGACTTGGTGGTGCAGTGCACCCTCTTTACCCTTCTTTTGCGGCCACTATTTATGTTCTAAATCGAAGTCGAAATTGTTGCCATTCGCACCGCTCATCTTACGATTAGTCGGTGCTCCGCATGGCTGAGGTGTGTTTTGCACTTCTTGAACCATACCACACCCTACCTCAACTTGGCCGGTACTCCACAGGTGGTTCTTCATGTAGTATTGAATTAACTTTGTGACAGACAGCCAAACAACCACTCACCGACGGCGCTTTGTAAGTATTATAGTAGGGAACAATTTCGCCCCGATGGTCGCCAAAGCCTCCTATTTCTTGCATACACTTCACGTCTTGCTTTGGTGCTGTGAACATAGGAGTTCAGCACGAGGAGTAGATGTGTATACGCAAAAGGGTATCTTGCATATAGCAGACGGTCGCATTCATCACATCACGCTCAAATGAAACTTGAACATTGATTTTATATATGAGGTTTATTAGTGGTTGGTCTCCCCTTTCCATCACTCTGTTCCCCTCCAATTGCGACGGCAACAACGTGGGATGGTTGTGTTAGTGGATGTTTATGAAACATTTGGAAATGTTACCACCTCGAGGCCAGGCAAGTCCTGCGAGCTTCCTATTTTCTTAGCGGTGGATATTTCCCATGACCCTCCTCCTCCTCTCGGGTATTCTGTGAGAGAATAAACAGACGAGCATTCATCATGACAAAACGGCATATCAAGTGGTGGTTTACAAAACAGTCAATAAGCATTTGTTTCAAACTGGCTGTTCATTTGTACATTTCCAGCGGTGTTTTTGCACCTCGTCTCGCGTATTCGGTTGGTCGTGATCATCAGACGACATATCCACTGACGGATACCGATCTTCGATCGACCATTGTCAGATTTGTTGAAGGATAACGACGATGTTAACTCGCTATCTATTCTAGCCGACATTTGTTAGAGTGGATATCTTGACTTTTTGAACTGTGTCACGACAGCTACATAGCAAACTTGTGCTCCGTATCTACTAATAAGTCCATTTGAAATGAATTATATAATAAAAGTACGAGTTTGTGATCAGGTTGATCTCAAAAGGGCTCATGGCCTCAGAACTTTCAATGCGAATTACCCTGAACACATTACAAACAAATCACTTGCTACAGAAAGCAACCGTGATGATTCATTTGTATTAGGAAGAGTGAAACAAGAGGAGAACAACGCGTAGGTGTTTATGAGTGAACAACTTCCTTATTGTACAGTCAATCGATAATTATTACTTCCTTATAGTCATCTATCATTTCCAATTATGTAGTGAATCCTCAGTGTGTGGAACCATGCATGTTGATTTCCGAACCAAAACCTGTATACGCCACTTTTTGACACCGGTACAGTATCGCCGAACGGCACCATAGTCGGACCGGGGATTTTCTGAAAACGAGGATTGGTTGATTGATTGAGTAGAAGAGGCTCAAGAGTTGTGGTGATCAGGTATCAAATCAAGAAGGTATACGCCGAGAACAGACCGCTGGGTAAACCCTCCGGTGCTCATGATAAAACTGTTATCAAAGGTTACAAATCTGTGTTATCAGGACCCGAGTGAATGGACAGCGCGCTAGGGCCTGGTACTGGTTCCCATTACTGGTTCGGACCGCCCCTCCTATTCAGCGGCCATGTGTGTGCTCCCTCCGTCTGCTCTC